CGATTTACTTCAGTTTCCTGCTGAGATCTGATCTTCTTCTTCACGTCCAAGCTTTTTCTCTCAATAAGCTCAATGAGATCTCTGAAGATCTTGTCAGTGTCCCTCGTTGTATCAGCAGACTGCTTGATGGCCTCCACCTCCTGCTGAAGCAATTTTACATCTGTCTGTCTGTCCTGGATCCTCTGGCGGATTTTTTTAACACTTGGCTTCAGCTCTTTCTGCTTCTCAGTTCTTTCTGTTGTAGCTGAAACTGTGTCGTGGCCTTTATGTTCATCCAAGGAGCACAGATAACAGATACACTGCTGATCAGTGCGGCAGAAGATCTTCTTCACCTCATTGTGACGAGAGCAGATATTCTCCTGAAGCTTCTTGGACGGATCGACCAGCGTGTGATTTTTAAATGCGGGAGATTGGTAGTGAGGCTGGAGGTGTTGCTCACAGTAAGAGACCAGACACTGCAGACAGGACTTGACAGCGTTAAATTTTCTTCCAACGCAGAAATCACACGAAACGTGTCCACGTCCAGTGATGTAGATATCCTCTGGAACAGACTGGAGTCCCATCTTCTGCACTTCCTTCACTAACTCAGCAAACATGGTGTTTTTCTTCAGGTCAGGCCTCGGTCCGAACGTCTGTCGGCACTGAGGACAGCTGTAAATATGCTTCCAATCTTCTCTATCCCAGTGGATCTTAATGCAGTTCATGCAGTAGTTGTGTCCACAAGGAATAGTCACCGGATCCTTAAGTAGATCCAGACAAATCGAACAGCTGAGTGCTTTCCTGTCAAACTGAAATCCTTGCTGCGCCATTTCACCTCCTTGACGAAGTGTCAATGAATGTTTGGATGGAAGCAGGAAAGTTTTTCATATTCTTCCTAACTCCAGAAAGAGGAGTGGCTTCAATGAGGAAATATGTGGCATAATTATGTCTACTGTGAATCTTTATTGGCAGGCAACGATCCACAAACAGGCTTCTCTTAAAAAAACATTGATAAACTTTGTTCAAGGTTCAAGGCAACTTTAATTGTCTCCCTTGGGAGGAAATGCTTTTAGATATTTACGGGAATAGCTGCCACACAAAACACACCCTATAAAAATCACAGGTAAGACACGTGTAAAGCATTAACTTGTGTTAAGTACTGAGCACTTTACTGTTCTCCATTTTAGCAATAATGAACTCAACTGACAGAGGTTCATTAGTACAGATTCAGAATTCAACATGAAGTGTGTCAGTTAAAGTCGTATTGGCCTGCCTAATGATGAACTGCTCAGAAAAGATTCTGTGGGAGGCAAGTGTGGGCATTCCCATAGTCCTTCCTGCCATTTTTGACCAGACTGGAGAGATGAACTTAAATTTTACTGTTACGTTTTAGAACCAGCTGGCAATACTGTACCACACAATGGACTCTATCGTCGCACTCCAAAAATTCAATATTTTGTTTCCACGTATGCCAAATATTCTGAGTCTGCGATGGAAATGAAGGTGCTGATGGATCCTGCACAGACACTCACTACCTTTGTGTGTGCCAGCACAGATCATTATAACTATGGACCCCTAAATACAATTTAGACACATTTCTAAAGACTTTGTATATCATGGCAAACTTGAGTTTCCAGTGACTCCAACAATGCTTAATTTTCTATGATGGAATCACTTCAAACAAGGGAAGGAAGTTATTTGGAGGCATTTCAAAGCAACTACAGATCCCAAAATCACCTGTGCAAACATCTGTAAGTATAACATTCATGGTCCAGTTGTTTTACTGCCACGATCAGGAAGAAAACACAAACTATCACCTGCTGCTGAGAGACAATTGGTCAGGATGGTCAAGAGTCAACCAGGAATCAGCAAAAAACAGGTCTGAATGAATCAGAAGCTGCTGGAACACAGCTGTCAGTCTCTACAGGGTTTGATATCAACATGAGCTGAGAGGCTGCATGAGGAGGAAGTTCTTCCTCTAGAAGCAGAACCTTAAAGTTCCACTGAAGTCTGCTGCTGATCACATGGACAAAGAAAAGGCCTTCTGGAGGAAAGTTCTGTGGTCAGATGGAACAAAATCTGACCTATATGGCCACAAATAACAGAAATATGTTTGGAGGAGAGAAGGTGAGGCCCCAAACCCCAAGAACACCAAACCCACCATCAAGCATGGAGGTGGCAGCATCATACTCTGGGCCTATTTTGGAGCCAGTGAAACTGGTGCTTTACATGAAATAAAAGGAATAATGAAGATGGAGGATTACCTCCACATTCTTCAGGAAAACCTAAAATCATCAGGCAGAAGGTTGGGTCTTGGATGCAATTGAGTCTTTCAACAAGACAATGAGCCCAAACACAAATTATAAGTGGTGAAGAAATGGCCTGATCAGGCTACAATTTAGGTTTTAGACTGGTCTCACCAAAGTCCTGTTTAATTGTTTTAATGATACCATCCTAGAAAATAAAGTTAAAGGAGTAACTGGAAACTCAAGACTGACATGATGTACATGGTCTTCACAGGTGTCTGGAAACTTTTGCTTACGACTGCTGTGGGGAAAGCTGTGGGGGGAACTTTGGCCTTCTTTCTTCAACAGGTGGGAGGTGGTGAAGAACATTAAAGTGCAGGCAGGGGCTCATAAAGCAATACAAAGGCTCCTAAAGTACTAAATATAAATTTTAGTGCTTTGAGTTTTATATGACATTGCTGATTAGTCCAAGATATTGCTGCACTGACTGTAAAAACTGCCACTCCTAGATCTGTTTAACCATTTACTGTCAGTAGATTGGCGGTCATACATTCTGTAGAGGGACAATGACATGGAAAGTCCCACCTTGCAAGTTGGCAGGATTTGTCCTTGAAGTTTGTTGCATAAGAAACCTGGAAGTCTGAATCTGTGTTTTTGAGGCTGTCATCTGTACACTGCAATTTCAAGG